ACCACATTCACATCAACTGATCACATCACCAACTGCCTGCTGGTAATGACTTCTAGCAATTTTTAGAGTGAGACAGTCTGCTAGAAAAGGTACCTTGCTGTTCTCTCCCTACGGAAGTTATTCTAGCAAACAAGGATAGTGTATGCTAGCTGTTTGTCCCCACAGTATTTCCACGTGCATTGACAAGTCTCAGGATATCGGGAAATGATGCAAGTAGCTTTGGGGAAAGGAAAAGGAATTGGAAGCAGGGACATGGAAAGAATAAGAAAGTGAAGGTGGCAGCAAGACGTTCGATATGAATTAAATATGAATTTTACATTTAGAAAATACCCTACTATTTGCTACCTAGTTGGACATAAAATTAAGCTAATAGAATAAATATAAAACGTAATTAAATTAATAGCAATGGTACTGAATGTAAAGTTGTAGAAGAAATTACTCAATTTGGTATTATTTGCTCTTTGTTTCACAGAGCAGAATGATCACATTTAAAGGACTAAAAGGGTAAAATGGAATATGCATATTCATCCTTACTGTCCCTATGTTAAATTTTGTTACCTTTTCTGATATTGTACCACAATGGTGGCTGTGTAAGTGGAAGACTACTCTCTTATCAATAATTTAGAAACTGCTTCAAAACTCAACGTATCTTGTAATTCACAATAAAAATGCCAGTGCCACAACACTAAAGAATTGGGCAATAAAGACATATTAGTTGGTCAAATGCAGTTACTTTGAATTATGGCATAGTTTGACTTCAGTTAGTAAGTTTGTTCGACATTAGAATCATTGCATTCAAATAGAGGTTAATGAGACTTAAAATTAAACAGGTATTTCATCAAACATACAATAAAGATAATTGATTTTAGGTCTCAATTAGGAAAAAGGAAAAATGATTCTGTCTTGCAGTACAAGGCTAGAAGCCACAAATTTTAAGTTCCATCTTCTTTTTCAAGATGGAACAAACAAGTGGTCTTCTTGATATTTGTTTCTTCCTTTGTGAAATACTACTACTTGTTCACTGCAAAAGTACTGAAAGGCTTACCATCAAAATTCTTTTAGTATTAAAAAAAAATTAGTATACCTTTATAATTAGCAGTTTAGTATACCATCAAAGTTATTTTAGTATAACACAATGCAGGAGCCCGTTTACATTTCACTAAGAAAAGCTCAATAGATTTTTCCATGAGTTGAAGTCGCTACTTTCAGGTTTCCATTATTTGTTCTATTCATTCCCTGTCTGCAACACAATCATGACACTTCTATTATTTTTCCTCTCTCTCAAACTGAATTATCTTTTTTTGTTTTAAATTTTAATTATTTATTTTTGTGTGTGTGTGTGTGTGTGTGTGTGTGTTCATACTCCTTACCTTAGAAAAGTTTTTCCTTTGGTATGTTCAGGAATAACTGTAACTTCCATTCACAAGAGCTGAACAAACCCCACAGAATTCACGCAGAGCTAGAATCTGCTGGTTTAATTCCCTGCTGGGAGTCTGCCAGTTGGGAAACGCTGACCAGCAAGTACAGGTCTTAATTACACAAATCCAGAAGCTGCTGCCAACCTTTCCCCATTGAGAAGCATTTGCTTTCTAGTGTTCTTCTTGATGAACAGATTATCACTCAAACATAATTTATTGCTGCTTTATATTGTAAGTAATTAAATGAAGAAACCTTTTAAACTCAAGGGAATTTTAATAGGTTACTTGCAAAATGTTATTGCAGGCAACAACTTGTACATGATTTTAGTTCCAAACCCACCAAAAAATTATACAAATCAGCATTGTAAAAGTGTCAAATTAATGCCTTACAGGCTTTGCTGGCAGAATTAATTTCTAGATTCTAGATGTGGGGAAGCGTTACTCTCATTTTTTTCCTTTTCCATTTTTTTAGAAAAATTTACAAGTGAAATATTACTACAAAACTTTTTTATAAGGAATTTTTGCAAAACATTTACATTTTTACCATCAACTATTTTTCTGTTTCAAAATCATTATGTAGATTTAATACCCTATGCTGCACATCAATTCTTGCGGGATGACAATTCAGTGACATGCATAAAAAAACACCACAAGGCATTAAAATGAAGACTTAAATACAAATATTGTTGCAATAAAACAGTTATAAAATTGAAAAATAGGACCTAAACATCATGCTTACCTAACTTTGACAAATTAACTTTTTCTCCTAGATTACACACTTTTATTACTGCTCTCGTGAAAGAATGTGATAAATAATGACTTAACACCAATTTCTAATGTAATCGGCAACACATACACAAACCTAACCAAAGAAAGCATATTGTAAGAAAAAAACTATTCTAACACTGGAGTTCTACCATGGTAAATACACTTTGCACTGATAATTACTATAAAGCAAAATTTTTAACGGTGGCAAAGGGAATGAACAGTGAAATGCCATTAAACAAGATACTACTGCACATCTGTGCCCTATTACTTACAACAGCTATATCCCACTGAGTCAAATAAAGGACATTGAAATTTACGATCCTTTTAAGACAGAAAAGTGGATTCAGAATGGTATGCAGAACAGACCATCAAAATGTTTCTAATTCCAGCGGTACAATATGCACCTGCTAACACAAGTTAATGTACTTGAGATGCTATGAAGCCAACCGGATTTAGATTTTGATACATCTATAATAGGGATTCATTGCAGATTAAAAATTACTTCAGTTTCCTATCTGCATACATAAGTATGCATGAAAAATTATATATGAAATGGTTGTGCAGAATGCTCATAACTTCAGTTTAGAAAAATTGTTAACTTCTAGGAAACATGGTATTAACATTAGGAAAGTTTTTTCTTTGCATAAAGAAATTTATAGCACTGATTGTGAAGCATAATGATAAAATATATATTTGACGTTTCATTTCCTATATAATAAAATTAACAGTTAATACTACCTAATGTTCATCTGTATTAAATGTAACATCTAATTGATTCTGATGTTTTAAATCCAGGTACATCAGTTAAGAGTACTTTAAATAAAATATACAAAATAATGTACAAAACCCAACTAAAATTTAAAGACTCTGTTACAAGTCTACAAAAGCTTTAAGAAACTTGAAATTTATAACCACAGTGTAAAATTGTTTTTCTTTAATCTCAAAGCTTTTTATGTAAACTGAAAGTATAAAATACCTTCAGCTTAATATTTTGCTACAAAGGGCTGGCCTAAAGTGTACACAGTGTAAACAATGATTGGTATTTCTCTTGCTTCAAAAATACAGAAAACACCACAAGATTGATAAAGTATTCAGATGAGAAGTATACGTTTTGTGTGGGAATGCACAAGGTATCTGTTATGTCTCTCAAACCAACAGCTACCGAACACATTCTTCCTTTTATAATTTGCAGGGAAAAAAAACAAACCAAAACAAAACTTATCCTTCTTGCACTGTACTTCCTTTAGTTACATCAAAAATATTTTGGTGTATAAATTTTTTTAAAAACTGGTCATGAGAATTATTACCAAATGACTGTATGTGTAAAAGGTTACATTTATGCCTATGGGAAGTAATTAAAAATCCTGAGTATGAAATATTTGGCCATCTTTCCTCCTTGTACGTACTGGAGTTTTCACATACAAAAAAAAGCAGTTTGTTTTTGTTGTCATTGTTTTTCCTTTCCTCTATATTCCTATTAAACTGGCACATCTGAAAATGTAACCAAACCTTTGAAATCAAAAGTCGTGTAGTAAAAAGATAACTATATTTCTCTTTCCCCAGTTTGTTTTGTGGTTGGAGGCTCAATGTAAGACTTGATAGGTAACAGGTTATTTATTACCAGCCCACGTATTATCCTTGAAGAGCAAATAAAGACAGTAATATTTAGGGGAAAAGAGAGAAAATGTTTACTTTCAATACCTTTTTTTGGTTAAAATGTGATATTTAATTCTTTTCTTTGGCTATTAAGTCAAAGCATAAAGAACTCGGCACATTAACCACAATATAATAACTAGTATTTACAGAGAAAAGATACGGGAGAATGAGCTACAACACTCAATTGTGTGATTAGTTTCCATGAATTCTAACAAAATTAAAACATTTAAATACTTAAGATTGAGTTTTTAAGACTCATGTTACCTACGAGTTAGAAATGGACCACGGATGTTTTAAAATACAATGAAATGAAATACCAAAACTGACGCAAAAGTTGCCATATTCATTTTTCATCCTACGTAAAGATACCATTACTTTTGTAAAATCTTACGTTATATCTTTCTATGGTTTTATCTTTCCTACTGTATACACTAATTCTACATAACCTTAGCTCTCCAAAGAAAGAGAGGAATTAGAACTCACTGATTGTCATTTATACACACTACTATAATGTAGTGGTCAAAATTAATCTGAGGTCCACCTCAGAACCACTTAGCAGCATGCATCATCCAGCTGCTATTTTGAGTAATTCCAAAACTTGAGAAAAGACGGCCAAAATGAACTGACGTGTTCTATGGACTGAGTAAAAACCTAAAATACTTCCACTATCGTTCAATCTGTATTCGGTTTTGCTGTGCCTTATGGGAAAAGGATGTTCTCATGAAAATATTACAAATTTATTTTAAAAACAAAGTACCTTCATCAAACAACTATTAATCCTAGTCAAGGTCCACCCTGTTTTACATTGATATTATCTGATTTTATAAATACATTAACACAATGCTAAAATAGGGAGGGAAGTTCATTTAAAATCATTACATGATATACAGACATATAACTAAAAAAGTACAGTATGGAAATAATATTCCCCCATCTGTTTATCCAGTACATCAATTTGCGCTGTTTGTATTTTTGAAATTTTTGTCTTGTTGCACCGGTGTACACTTCCCATGCTGACCCTCCAACCTGGAACACTTACAGAAGTCATGACTGAAAACATGATTTCCTGCTCTGTAATCCACTTTACCAGCCCATTTCCATATCCTGAAAGGTATGTAAACTTAAGTGCAGCACTAGGCGTCCATATAAATGATCCTTTCAGAATTCTTCCATGTTTGTTGAAACATTAGGGGTTGCTGGGTTTGAATCTTGAGAAATGGCAGCAACAGTGACAATTCTTGGAGAACCAAGAACCTCAGTAACTGAAGAGTCCAGTTCTCCTGAGGTAACAATAGCAAGGGCCGTTCCACCACCCTTCTTGTTCTGATGAGTTTTGACATGTTTTGAGAGATGGTCACTTCGCATAAACCTTTTAGAACATTCTGGGCACTCAAATCTCTTTTCACCTTTTTTAAAAGAAGAACAAAACCAAAATGTTACTGAAAGAGAGCACTGAATGCTTTTTGCTTGACAATTTCAATCTGACTCTTTTCTATTTAACATTTAAAGTGTCTTTAAAAGGATACAATGTTTTCTTCTCTACTTGTCTGATTTCCAGGTCATGGGCTTTTGACAATCCAGTCTTCACTACTAAAATGTTCTCAACAAATATTTGCTATGCTGTGATTATCTGGTGAGAAGTTTGGATTTCAGGTCACCAGAGAATTTTCATTAACTTCTACAAATCTGACAGAGGTAAAAGCTCTGAAAGAACTACTTGATAGCATTTTTTAAGAATACTTCCGTTCTATAGATTACAGTTATGAGAAAGGAATTTGGAAACGTGAATCCCAAAGCTCCATGACGATGTATGAATCTATGTCAAGAGAGAGAAATTCACCACACTAAAAAGTCCTGTCACTGTTCAAATGTAATTAGTGCTTAGACTTCGAGTGCTATCTTCTGATGCTATAAGTTGGGGAGGGAGGGGAACCTTCCTGGGGCTAGAAATACGAAGGCTGATAAAATTTTCAGTTTCTAAAAGGTCCCCCTTTCCAATCTGAACTGTAAAAACTTGCTTTATCAGTTCTCACTTGAAACTTCAAGAAACTTCCCAAGAAGATCAAATCTGATGTATGGACTAGGTTAATAAATTTCTTAAGAATTGAGCTAGTCCATGTGAGGAAATGACAACCCTGGTCCATGGCCAATCCTACACGCTCAAGAAAATTTGTCAAATTTAGATCAGGCATTAGCTAATGTACATCAGCTATCTGTGATGAAACTGTCATCTTTTTCTAGCATAGGTACAGAACAACAGTTTGAACAGATCTCATTTTATTTATCTGATTTCACAGTCAGCTTGCATTGATGAAAACTGAAATCTACCACTTTCTCTATTTTAAAGTTAATTTACATTTAAAAGTAGTTTTCAGAGATCCTAGTAAGTGAGATCTTTGATACCACTGTTTAACCATGGTCACTATAATTCAGACTTGCTGTACTATGCGTACAGAGAGGGCTGACCAACCTGTGTGGGTTCTTCTATGTCTTTGTAACTCATCGCTCCTTGTAAATCGCTTGCCACAAAAAATCCAGTTGCATACAAATGGTCTTTCACCGGTATGCCAGCGCAGATGTGCTCGAAGATGAGATGTCTTGCCATAAACTTTTCCACATCCTTCAATATGGCAGATATGTTGTTTCTTTTTTCCTGGCTCATTGCTGCCTCTAAAAAGATCAAATTTAAACAGGTAAGTAATTACATTATAAAATATTATTAACTATTAAGAAAAATATTTCATGCTAATAGAGACAACTATAACCCCCTGTCTAAAAAGAAATATATAAACATACTTTGTAATAGAATGCATTAAAAAATACAGGCAATATACGAAAATCTCATGCCCAAATGAGGCAAACTGTGATAAGAAGCCTAAACACACACTGATAAAATTTACATTTACCTTCCTTCTCCCTCTCTGCAATTAGGACATGAGCAGGCAACTCTTCTCAATCTCTTGCCAGGTTGCACTTCCTGGTCAGAAGCTTGTTGAGCTTGTTGCAGCTGCACTTGTGTTATCTGATCAGGACTAACAGCACCAATTGCTGCATTAGCAATGCCACCTACTGCTACAGTAACAGGAGCTATTGTGGCTTGCTGTACTTTTACTCCATCCTGTCCTTGCTGTTGACCTGTAAAATAATAGTGTTTGTACCTTTTATTAGTCATTTCAATAACTGAAATGCACAAATAAACTTTATATGTTTTATAGAACAAAAATCCACCTAAAGTTAAGGGAAACCACAAAACAAGTATCAAATCCAGTCATCTTTCTGAACCACTACCAGAGGACTTACCTGCTAGCTTAGATAGATAGCACTGTTTAATGTAATTTGTTACTAGAACAGTACAAGACTGCAAATTACTGACTGATACTAAGAAATGTGAATTAGTTTAACTCTTTTTCTCAAAAGCTGAGATAAATGAGAAAACATTAAACAAAATCTTACACAGAAAGATTGTTAAATCTATTGCCAATTAATGCCTCTCTAATAACCTTTGAAAACATATCTACATTCAGAAAACTATAATTAGCTAATTTTAAAAGTTGCTTTACAGCACAAGCAGAATTGTCACTTCTCCTCCAATCTGTCCTGAATCAACATTGAACCACAAAGGAACTTTCACAAAGAAAAAGAAATGTTGTAGGACTAGGCTTGAACAAGCTTGCATACCAGAGCTTGCTTTTTTTTCCCCCCCCTCCCTCAGGATTCTCCACCTGGGACAGGGTAATCCTCATTATACATACAAACTGAGGGACGAGAGGCTGGAGAGCAGTCCTGCGGAAAGAGATCTGGGAGTTTGGGTTGGTTGAATATGAGTCAACAGTGTGCCTGGCAGCCAAAAGGGCCAACCGTTTCCTGGGGTGCATCAAGCACAGCATAGCCAGCCCGTCAAGGGAGGTGATTGTCCCACTCTACATTGCACTGGTGCGTCCCCACCTCGAGTACTGTGTGCGGTTTTGAGCACATCAATATAAGGACATCAAACTATTAGACTGTGTCCAGAGGAGGGTGACCAAGATGGTGAAAGGTCTCGAGGGCAAGACTTATGAGGAGCAGCTGAGGTCACTTGGTTTGTTCAGCTTGGAGAAGAGAAGGTTGAGAGGTGACCTCATCGCAGTCAAAAGCTTCCTCAAGGGGGGCAGCAGAGGGGGAGGTGCTGATCTCCTCTCTCTAATGACCAGTGATAGGACACATGGAAATGGTATGAAGCTGCATCAGGGGAAGTTCAGGTTGGACATTAGGAAAAGGTTCTTCACTGAGAGAGTGGTCAGTCACTGGAACAGGCTCCCCAGGGAAGTGGTC